GGGGGCAGCTCGGCCAAGTTCTTACGCGAGGGCTGCTCGGCCAAGTTCTTACGCGAGGGCGCCGAACATGGACAAGTCGCCAGCTCCAATCCACAGCGGCTTTCCGGACTTTTCTGTTGAGCTCTCTCGCGACTCACAAGCTGATTCCCTAGTTCGTTTTCGCTGCCCCCCGCCGCCGCCGCCGCCGCCGTCGTCCTCTCCTTGCATTCCCGAAGACACTGGTTTCCGGAAGGCGAGAGTGACAACTCGGCTGCAAGAGGACTGGGGTTCGCCTTTCGAATGTCAAACACAGAACCCCTCGTACTTTTTTGCGCGGGGCCGTCAGGCACAAGTGGCTTTAACTTCCCACCGTCAGCAACGGCAGCAAAAAGCCCGTACTCGTCCAATACGTCGTGATTCTCGGAGTCTGAGGCGTCGCAAACTGTCTGCTCTCCGTCCGGGAGAGAGGGACCATCCCAGCACGGTGGGCTGATAAAACACATGGACATCAAGAATTCTCTTGATAATCCCACATTCCGTGATTTTTCTCTCCTCATTCCCCGCGTCTTTGGAGACGCTGCTGGCGGCGGCGATAACATGGGCACCGAATATACGCTGAGGTTGTTGTTGTCCGTCGGCCCTGAGGCAGCCCTCCCTGCTCGGACCCAATCCAGCCGTCCCTCCGTCTGGTGCTGCGCACTGAAGCCAAAAAATTCGAACTGCACGGGACTGCACAGTTGCGACACACTGGTGGATCCCCTAGTAATGTCCGTTCCCGAATCCAGATCAGCGTCGCTGCTACAGCGACTGTAGCCTTCTCCGGGCATTGGAGCCTAGAAAAAAAAATGTGGAAAAAAGACGAAAGCAGACGGATGGTGCCCGGGCATCACCAGACATTAGCCTCAATCGCAACAATATGCGTAAAGTCCAACCAAATGCGTCGAGCGGCGCTAAATCGAATTCAACGTTTCTTCCGCCCCGTCCCTCACTTTCGGGTTTCTTTTCGGTATCGCCGTCAGAACACGGCGCTCGCCAACCACGGGCGGATTTGCGCCTGCAGAGAACCGTCACCGTCGCCCCTCGGGCTGAGGAATAAACAAGCGGAAACGCTACCCGGCCCTCTACGCCATTCCAGTGCATTACACAGCCTGCCGGCGCCAGAGCTTCACAGCCTTGGCATCTCCGCTTCTACTACTTCGCCTCACGTTCGCTGCTAACCGGCATTAATCAGCACTCTTTTTTTTTCGTTGTTTTTCTTGCGCGCAGGAGCCAGGGGAAAATAAAAGAAACGATTGAAGATGGAAAAAACGCGGTGACAGACGGCATCAGCAGCAGCAGGGGAGGAAGAAGCGGAACCCCGTGCTGCACAAGACACACAGAAGGCCACAGTCAGCTCCACCGCGTTGGTTCTTTCGAACAGCGACGGCAAGTTGGGAGTAGAGGCAACGCGACAGGTAAAATCAATCGAACAAGCAAGGAACACATAAAACGAAATAAAAGAAAATTAAAAAATGGGATAAGGGGTAAGGGGTAAGTGACGTGTGTGTGTTTATATATATATATTGGGGAGGGAAAAGGACACATACTAAAGATGCAACTATCCAAACAGACGGGGTCATGATACATCTTTCCTTCTCTATCTTTCCCTCCCCCCACCACCCACCTCCCTGGCACTTTCCTACATTTTACTACTACACATTACATGGCTTCAGCTCCTGTAAACTAATATCATTCAAAGCACACGGGCATATACGTTTGCGTGCATGTACCGATGTACAACTGTTGTTGTTTTTTAATTATTTATCTAGCGCTTTGGGACTTCCCCAGTTTCATTACCTTGAACTGGGACTGTTTCCTCCCCCTCGTCTTACCTAAACAGTGAACTATGCGGCCACAACACGCCCCGTGAAGAGGGGGGGGGATGATACTAATAACAATAAACAATAACAAATAAATAAACAATGACGCGGGCACGGAAAGCGTCTCTTCTCGTGCCAAGACCGTTTCCTCGCACAATTCACGCTTCCGCGTCTGGTGGAGGCGAACGGTCGCCTGACAGGCACACACGCGCCGCGTGAGCCCGAGACGAAGGGGAGGCAGTGGGAGCCGCGAGGCGGCAAAACACCCACCGAAAAAGCGAAGACGCAAACACAAAGGGAGTCAGCCTTCCACGCCCCCGCCCACCTCCGAGAGAAGCACGCGGTAAGAAACACACACAAACACACGTACGTTGCAGCCGCTTTATTTACATCACAACAGTCTCCACCACCCACTGCCCAGAAACGCAGATAACCCTTTTTTCTCCTCCTCTCCCTCCACCCAATCAGAGGCACAAGAAACCACCGAGCAGTTATGGTGTTGTCATAGTGCACACATTGGAAAAAAAGAAAAATGAAATCCCACCCCGTGGATAAGCAAATTAAAGAAGGAAGGAAGGAGGGAAATAGCCAAAGACGAACAGTGGGGTTTCCTCCCCGTCAAA